TTTCTAAAATTTTTGCAATTTTAACAGTTAAATGTTCATTTAAAATAGAAATATTAAAAAAATTAACAAAACCTAATTTTTTAATGTAAATGGATGAAATTGCATATTTGAACGTAGTTTTTAGTTCTGATTAACTTTTCTTTATAACAATTTTCGATATTGTCAAATATAAAGGTACTTTACTCTTGAGTCAAATTAATATTTTATGACATACCCTACATGTAGACGACTAAAAAAATTTAATATTTGTGGGTTGCATTTTAAGTTGTACACCATGCAGAACTTTTTATAAGGAATATCTTTTTTCCTAAAATTAATAATAAAAAAGTTTTCCATATGATTCTGAGATACTGAGACATACTGTATATATATATATATATATATATATAAATAAAATTGTAATTCCATACTTTTCGTTTTTTAAAATATTTAAAAAATAAACATATACAAAACCAAATAATAATAAACACATTATACACCGAAGGAATTTTGTAGTGAAAATCCAACTATTCAAGTAAACAATTTTCGATATTGTCAAATATAAAGGTACTCTTGAGCCAAATTCATATTTTATGACAATTTAATATTTGTGGGTTGCATTTTAAGTTTTACACCATGCAGAACTTTTTATAAGGAATAACTTTTTTCCTAAAATTAATAATAAAAAAGTTTTCCATATGATTCTGAGATACTGAGACATACTGTATATATATATATATATATATAAATAAAATTGTAATTCCATACTTTTCGTTATTTAAAAAATAAACATATACAAAACCAAATAATAATAAACACATTATACACCGAAGGAATTTTGTAGTGAAAATCCAACTATTCAAGTAAATTCCATATTTGGAATTTCAGACTATTTAAATTTGTTTTGGTATTTTAAAAATACCTATACGTACCTGAATTAATAATAAATAATAAATCACCCCAAAAATATAAAATTAAACATTAAAACAACATGCTAACTTGCAACCACATTATTATTTTTAACTAATTAGCGAAAATTACTAAAAAGTAAATAACATACAAGATAACTTTTGCCTATTCAACCTGTTCTGGAGAAATTGTGGTATTTTATATTAGTGTACTATTTTATATTTAGTAACTTTCCCCCAAATATGCAATAGTACTTATATATAAAGCAGCTCTTGTAAAATCAAGAGACTTCATCGATTGAAACACAAGAAACCTTAAACATAATACTTAAATTAAATAGACTTTGGTTTTAAACATATACTTATTTGGATATTTTAAATACAAATCTATGATAAAATTGTAAAAATCATTAATATCTAATTAATTTTTATAATTAATATTAATAATTACAAATATAGTTTAGAGGTCAATAATAATAAAAAAAATTGTCACCGCATATTAAAGTTATACCTTCTAGGAAATTGTTTAAAATATGTTATTAAACAAAAAATAGTTTTTCCAGGAATTTTTTCCATATGTTCCCGGAAATTTGGCCTGGAAAATTTAATAGGAATTTAAATTTTGAAATAATTACTATTTAATTTTAAAAGTTTTATTTTCAAATATCCACCTTGCAGCCCACATATTACGTGAATATATAATATAGATAATATAAAATATTTACAAAATCAAAAATATGTTGATTAAATTGTAATAAACTGGAAACATTGCCATTTTCATATTAAACATAGGTATTCATAATAAAGTAATTTATTTTAAATTATTTTGTTATAAAAATGTTAAAATTATATATCTTATCATTTTCATATCATATCTTTTGCAAATTTAATAGTTAATATATTAACTATACTGCCCTCTTGTTAGACATAATATATGTAGAGAAAGATGTTATCTTATCTTATTTATAGATATATTATCTATCTATAGTATCAGTACGCATTGGGATTCGGATACGAATATCTTCTCAACCGTTGCAACGGTTAGAGTAATCAATTAGATACATTAGACCTTTTTTGTAGAGCCTTAAATTTTCTACAGAAATATGTTAAACTTACTTATTGAAATTTTCAATGAGTAACAAAATTATAAATTACAAAATTATAAATTCTTCTAATAATTATTAGAAGAATTTAAATTCTTCAAACTTTGATCTTGAATATCGCTTAAATGGTTCGAGTAATCGCTTAAACACATTAGATTTTTTTGTAGAGCATTCAATTTTCTACAAAAATATGTTTAAAGATTTGATTAAACGAAATATGGTCTTTTTTATAATATACTGTAATGAGGAAGATCTTCCTAATAATATTAAGAGCCTAAATTTGGTGAGTTCTTTCTAGTGGTGCCTAAGAAACAATTGTTTAATGTCAAAAGTATAAAAAACATTCGATTTTTTTTAATCACCCTATTTAATTTAATATGTTTCCAAGATACAGGGTGATAAATTGTTACCAAGCGAAAAGTACAAATTTGCTCTTTCAAAAGAAAGCGCAAAGTTGCACTTTTTCGAGGAGCGAGTCAAATTTGAGGTTATCAATATTTATTAATTTTTACCAAACATTCTTATAGAAACACCGGTTGTAGAAAAAATCCTGTGTGTATTTCGAGCGCAAAGTGATATTGCCGCTCTCGCGCTCTTAATACACATATAGCAATTTTGTTTAGAGATTAAAAAAAATTAACTTTTTAAACTATTTTGGTAGAAAATTTTTTATGTGTTTTTATTTTAAATGTCTCGACACTATTTTTAAAAACTAAAAAATTTAACTTTAACAATTTAATCTAAATAATTTTATAAAAAAAAATATTTAGGATTCACAATAGAAATTTGGCGCACTTCTGAAATGTGTTCCTTTCAAGAGAATTTTTTTCTAACTTGTCAGAGTTCTCTATTAGAGATACTAAAACATTACCAAACAATAATTTATTTTTTATTTAGGAGTAACAAAACAGTCTTTCATTGATGTTTTTATTAAGCGAATCAATGTTTTTTTGCTTTGCTTTTCATATTTGTAAATAAAAATAAAAAAGTATAATTCTGACCACGAATTAATCATCTGGGAGCATTTGTCATAGGACGTTTCTGAAATGACTGTTCTAGAAATGATGCCATCTTAAATGCCGGCTATCAAGGTTATTAGTTAAGGCCCAGTTTCATGATCAGACTTTAAAATGTACTAAAGAAAAAGTTTATAATCTATACTACTATACTAAGTTTATAATTTATACTTTAGACGCTGCCGAAATTTAAGAAAATTTACATGTTACTCTTATGTGTTATTGACTTTATTTTCATATTTTCGCTGAAAAGAGGTTATAATTTCTCGACAGAGGAGGAATTTCTTTTGTTGGATGAAACTATAAACCAAAAAAGATATGGAAAATAAGAGAACCAACAATATTTTGTGTTAACATTTTTTAAAATAACATATTTTGTGGCTTATTATTTATATAAATTATCCATTCAAATAGTCTATACTATTAATTTTTTTTTATTATGTTTATTAAAAAGGTCTCCTTAAAAGCCACCCAAAAACGGCAAAATAAGCAGGTGAAAAGGCAAAATAGGCAAGTTGAAAGGCAAATACACTACAATGGTTTTGTTGTTTATTTGTCATTAAAGTAGCAAACAATCATTTTTTAATATTTTATTTTGTTAAATAATGTCGTTTATCCAATAATAGTATATTATGTATCAAGTTTTATAAACGTCATTTTAGTCACGAGCGAAGCTTGCGAGCGAGTGTTTAATAAAAACGAGTGTTAAGAGAAGTTTATAAAACGAGTTGCATACTATACTTTATTTATGATGAACATAAAAAAGAATTTAAAGCCAATTTTATTTGTTAAACATTTGACATCTGTCAACTTTTAATGGATTTAACCTCACTTTTCCCTAATTTATAATAAAGCTAACTTTAGTCCGTGACTAAAATGCCCAAAAGCCACTATTGCTAACTTCAGCCTGTGACTAAAACGCCATAAAGTCACAGCTCGTCAATGTAGGAGTAGATAATAGACTATTATTAATAGTGTATTATGTATCAAGTTTGATAAACGCCATTTTATACACAAATTTAATTTAGGCACTAGCGAGCTTGCGAGCGAGCGAGTGTATAGAGAAGTTTATAAACGAGGTGCATACTATACTAAGGTCAGTACAATGTTCATATAAACTTTTCAAATATTGGCGTTGAGAAACTATTTAATACTTTCGTATTTTTGTATTGAGATAATAAAATAATTTTTAACTTAAAACCAACTTTAGCCCGTGACTAAAAACCTGTTGCTAACTTCAGCCCGTGACTAAAGCGCCATAAAGCCACAACTTGTCAAAGTGTATTTAAAAGGTCACCAAGTGTCATGTAAACGTACGATAAAGGGCGTTTTAAAGGTGGGAGTAGAAAAAATATTTATAGAGAAAGTTAACGTCGGCGTCATTGCTCGAATCATAGTATAGCAACATACGAGCGGAGCGCTGGTCAAATCTGAGCAAAAGATTACAAAAGTCTGCTGTTTAAAACGGTGTGTTTATTTATTAAACGCAATTTTAGTACCAAAGTACCAAAAAGGCATTATGTTTTCGACGAATTAGGCATTTTAGGGAAGGTTTGGGCATTTTAGTAATTGTTTTCAAGTCGTACAAAGGCAAAATTGATGTTGGGTAAAATTGCACTAAAATGTCCAAAACACATTTTCACTAGGAATTTTTAACGATATGCAGCATTTTGCATACAATCCGGTCTCTATTAATTAGCAATGCAAAAGCGTTGAACCCACCAAAACATTAATTTATGGAAATTGTATGCATTTTATGTATGACAGGCGGTGTTTCTTATAAAAAAAAAATAATATAATTCTGTTTTATTACACAAAATATCCTTTATTTGTGGGTTGGTTAAATTTGTATTTTTTTTTTTTAAACGAATGAATAGATTTTTAGTTATGATTTTATAAAAAAAATTAAATAATTAACATTGAAAACATATGCTAAGTAAATTTTTATGTTAGGTAGTTATTAAAAATATGCCAATTTTAATAATTTGTTTTAGTGTTTGATGCTTCTCCCAAATTTCCTGTAGGAATTCTTACTGGTAACCATTACCAACTAGGTAATTTTGACGAGTGCATGCGAGTAAAGCAGCCATTACCAGAGGATGCTAATTATAGTATTAAAGGACAATACTGCCTTACGGACATTTATTTTAACCACAGAAGCGTCCAAAATTCCCTTAGTATTAATAACTTAAAGGTAAGTCAAAGCATAGACAAAAACATTTATTGTTTAAAAACCACCAATATCCATCAAAAATTCTAGAAGTTAAATTTTTGTTGACTAGTTTTAAAAAATATATATTAGGGTGTCCCAAAAAAAAAGAATATTTTTTTTCTTCTCGTCTCTTGTGAAAATATGTTGGTTTGTCATGTTTTAAGAGCCCTGTCAAAAGATCAGCACCATTAAAAAATTTTTAGGGGTCGCTCAAGATTTTTAAAAATTACCAAAATCGTAAAAAATTGGATTTTTTTTAATTTTAATTTTTTTTCTCGTTCCGATATTATTTTTTAATTTAAAAATAATAATGATTCTGAAAATTTCAAATCGATATTTTAATTTCTAAAGGTCGCTCAAGATTTTTTTAACTTTCAAAGTAGAGTATTTTGAATGTTTTCGAGCGACCTCTGAATATAAATATCAAGGAACTTTTAGCGACCTTTAGAAATCAAAATATTGATTTGAAATTTACAGAATTTTTATTATTTTCAACCTAAAAAATAATATAGAGACGAGAAAAAGAATTAAAATAAAACAAAAATTCAATTTTTGACGATTTTGAAATTTTTTAAAAATCTTGAGCGACCCCTACAAAATTTTTAATCGAGCTGATTTTTTGAAAGGGCTCTTACAGCATGATAAACTAACATATTTTTACAAGAGACAAGAAAAAAAAATATATTCTTTTTTTTTGGGACACCCTAATATATATATATATTCCTAAAAACAAACTATCCTGTGCAGTTAGTTGTTTAATATGCAATGAGTAGTCATTGCAGGTTAGTTTCCTGAACCAAAACTTAAATTTGCAGTGGTAATACATTAAATAAGCATACAAATTTATTAGTCCCGATAGAGTGTATTCAATGAATTTTTTTCATGATTTAATCGATGAAATATTAAAAAATAATGCTTGTGAAGTCAGAATAAATTAAAAACTAAAAATCAATATTTTTGACCTTAAAAAATCTTTACTGAAAATTTTGCCCAAAAAAACCAGACCTGATTCTAAGCTTCAATTTTGTGTAATGCGATTCTTAGTGCAAAATTTTAGTGCAATTTAATATTTTTTTAACATAACTATTTTAATGAACCTTGCCTAAAATGCTTGCTTAAATAAGAAACAGTGCTTTTTTAGTACTCTTAATTTTTTTTATAATATAATTTACATAATATTATTATATATTTTTAAAATACCTACCGTGTTTTTATAATAATATAAAATGCGATTTCCACAGTATTGTAACGTATGATTATCATACGGCTGGTGGATTTTGGGTATACCAATATTTCAGTTATTAGACATGGGACCCACACCAAATTAATAATAGTTTATAATGACATTAAATAGACAAGTTCGGCGCAAACAGAATTTTAATTTAAGTTTGCGAAAAAAAGTTAGTTTTTCCTGTTGCCTCACCCGCCTCCAGGCCCCCCTATTTAAGATAATTCAAATTAAAGTGGTGCAATTTATTATCTACTATAATTTATTGAAAAATTTAAAATTTTATTTAAAAACTCCAAATATTACAGGTTTTATACCATTTTAAATATTTTTTTATTTTAATAAAGCCGAACTTGTCTATTTAATGTCATTATAAACTATTATAAATTTGGTGTGGGTCCCATGTCTAATAACTGAGATATTCGTATACATAAAATCCACCAGCCGTTAGGTATCCTTAAAGTTACTATATAGTTATATATAATTATAAAGTTACTATATAGTTATATATAATTACTATATAGTTATATATAATTGTAACTAGTTACAAGTTTTGAGTAACTTAGGGGTGTTAAGACACAAATAAACAATTTTTAATTTAATACCTACACAAAAAATCTACCAAATAAACTAAACATGTTGTAAGACCCCATCCATTTTTGGTGTCTCTAGTAATTAACTTAATAAATAGAAATAATATTTCTAGATACTTGTTTAAGGTAACTATATCTGTAACTAGTTAATGCAGTAAATTATTCATCTGTAGTTATATCTAGTCAAATTTTGGTAAGTAACTAACTAGATACTGAAAATGATGTAACTGTTACAACACTTGTATTGGTGGTAACTAACTAGATACTGAAAATGATGTAACTGTTACAACACTTGTGTTGGTGGTAACTAACTAACAAAGGTTACCACATTTTTGCTTGATACGAAATTGTTAGTTTACACCTTTATCCATCTACCTCTTTGATTATTTATTAAACGTTTTTAACTTAAAATAATTAAAATTGTAAACATTTTAAGGAGGTTAAGCCACCCGTTATTGTTTGTGAAAATTTCCCGATAAATTTAACCGGCCAAAAATAATTGAAAAATTGTAAAATTTTCAAAAAATTAACATTGGCAATTTTTCCCTTTATCCGTAGTATAGTGGTGGACATGGAATTTTAAACGGCATAAAAATTTACTTAAAAAAAATTGGAATTAAAAATTAAGCATTTACTTAAAAATAACATAAAAATGGTCCTTTTATTAAAATGTTATTATTATTTAATTTTCCAAAAAAAATTTTTACAGGGGCCAGAAAAAAAGTAAAAAGAAATATTTGTCTGTTTTTTTTCTATGCTTTTAAACACTAAATATAGTACGAAACCAAACTTTAAAATGTTGATGGCTTATGTCCTTATTAAAATAATATTATTTCATAAAAAAATTATATTTATAATAATAATTTAAAAAGTGTTGTTCTAGAAAACCATTGTAGTACCCATAACTAACTTTTTAGACAAAAAACCGCTACAGCTTTAACAACTCGGTCATCCACTGGGGAATTTGTATACCCGATTCTTGCAACGAAGAAGATGCCAAAATTTTTGTCCAAGAAATTTTTAAATCCACCGTAGACAATGTGGAAACGGTAGAAGTAACCATTGGAAAAAATAAATGCCAAGTGGAAAAATCTTTTCCATTAAATCAGTTGGAAATAATTTACGGGTACGATACAGTTTGTAACTTGGGAAGTAAAATATGCTCTAATCCGTGTTTTTCTTAATCCAAGTTATATTTATATGCAACAAAAATTATTTGCAGTTTAATTTTTTAGGTCAATTATTGGATTTTTTATAATGTTCATATTTTTTGCCACCTTTTTTCACTGCTGGACACTGAGAAGAAGGCAGAACTACGTAGCATATAATGTGGAAAGTGTAAGAGAGAAAAACAGCACACTTAAAAGCATGGTTTTGTGTTTTTCCATGATTAGAACCGTGAAACAATTTTTACACACCTCCCCGAATGACTTAAATTTAGAATGCATTTATGGAATTAAATTTCTTTCTATGATGTTTATAATAGCTGGTCATACTCTTATTTTTATTGCTGGAGGACCTGTCGATAATATTGCTTATGTAAATGAGGTACTAATTGCTTATCATCTAAACATAACATAAAACAAGAATTAAAAATTTCCAATACTGTATCTTAAAAGATGATACTTTTAAAAATTTTCCGAGAAAATTATTCAGTTTTGGTTCTATTGGTTTAATTTTTTTAGCAAGCCTATAAGGTAAAAAATGGGGTATTTTTTAATAGTGCATTACTAGTGGATACCTTTTTAATTATTAGTGGATTTCTAATGTGCCGATTGCTTTTAATTGAATTGGACAAAAGAAAAGGAAAACTCAATATTTTGGTTTTATACATTGCTCGGTACATTAGGTAATTGTTTAAAAATATATTTACAACACATAAATATAGAACATATTTTTTAGATTAACTCCCGCATATATTGTTATAATTGGATTTTATTCTACGTTTTTAATAAGAATCGGATCAGGACCGTTATGGAAATCAAAAATTGGTTTAGAACAAGAACGTTGTTTAAAATCCTGGTGGATAAATATTTTATATGTAAATAACTATTTTAATACGGAATATCTGGTAAGTTTTTTATTTTTATTTGTTACATTTGTGTATTTTCTGAATTACTTTAGTGTATGTTCCAATCCTGGTATTTAGCTGTAGATTACCACTTATTTATAGTGGCTCCTTTCATAATTGTTACTTTGTGGAAATGGAAAAATATTGGCAAAACACTTTTGGCTGCTTTAATGGTACCCTCCATTGCAGTACCGTTTTGGTTAACTTATAAAAATGAGATGGATCCAACGCTTTTGGCTTTTCCACCGTAAGTTTATTAACGAAACATACATATTAATATTATTTAGTTATTTAATAACATTTCGCAGTTTTTGTGAAAAATGATTTGGAATTAATACCTTTGCTTGATAAATATAATGATCCTAGCTACAATTAAATAATTAATGTTTCTTAAAAATTATATTTTTTCTTGTATTACTAAATATTGTACTTTTTAAAAATGGGTTAGACAAAAATAACAAATTTTAAGTAATTAATAATAGGTACTGGTTTACAAATTAATAAAAAAGAAATGTACCTACCTACACTCGGTGCCACTATTTTTTGTATAATGTATTTTGGGCAGCTAAACTCGAAAATCACAATACCATTTTTTAGGGAAAGGTTTTCTAGTTATGATTTTTTTAAATATTTCGAAAGCATATAATTTGGGTCATTACTCGAATTAGAAACGGCCAATCTGGTTGCAAAAAGTGTCATATTAAACAAAATCGCCAACAAATATCACTTTCTTAATGCCCAATTAGTTAAGTAATTTAAGTACAATGGGTTTGAAAATTGAAATAAATTCCTTTTTTTGAACAAAATAGGAATGCATTCCCTTTCTTACCAAAAATGAATAAAAATCATCAAAATATGACCATTTTTAAATGATCTACACTGAGAGAAAAAATGTTGTAGAATCATTCAAAACGATAATAATTCAAAGGGATTCAAATATGTTTTGGGGTCATTGGTGTGTCCCATTAAATTAATAGGTGTATAACAATTGTATAATACATATCTTTTAGAAACCACGTTGAGAAAGGCAATGAAATAAATAGATTTCTTTTTGTATATATATTTTAAAGAGGGTACACTTTAAAAGTGTTTATAAACATTGTAAAACTGTTGGTAAATGAATATAAAACTACAAATTTTTCTATTTAAATTAAATTTACCCGATTATTTAAATTAATATAATTTCATATGCTTTTAATGACATGATATTTCTCTGAGTGTACATAGAGTTTGCACTTTCGAATTTTCGAAGTATATATATTAGTAGGTATAAGTGCAGTAATTGTAACATTTTATTAATTTACAATACATTTTGTTGTTTATATTTATCAATAACTGAAGTTTGTTTGGTTCAAATTTTGTGTGATGTCGCTGTTACCCAGTGGCGGCTGGTGAATTTTGGGCAAACCCATATCTCAATTATTAGACATGGGACCACATTAAATTTATATGAGTTTATAATGACATTATATAAACAAGTTCTGCGCAAGCAGAATTTAAATTGAAGTTTGCGAAAAAAAAGTTAGTTTTTAAGTGTGTCCCCCAGCCTCCTGCCCCCCCAAATTAAGATAATTCAAATTAAAGTGGTACAATATTTAATTCACTGAAGTTTATCGACAGATTTCAAATTTTATTAAAAAAAATCAAGTATTACAGATTTTATACCATTTCTATTTTTTTTAATTTATAAATTTTACTATAGTAAAAGAAATAATAAAAATTTAAAATGGTATAAAACCTGTAATTCTTGAATTTTTTTAATAAAATTTGAAATTTGTTAATATACTTCAGTGAATTAAATATGGTACCACTTTAATTTGAGTTATCTTGCGCAGAACTTGTCTATATAATGTCATTATAAATTTGATGTGGGTCCCATGTCTAATAACTGAAATATGGGTGTGCCCAAAATCCACCAGCCGCCACTGCTGTTACCAATAGGCTATCTGACGTCATATTTTCTTTTATTGTGTTGAACTAGATAACTCAGTAAATAATTAAAATCATCCAACCCAACACTTTTCTTTCATACCATTTTTGAACTTTTATCCTATTCATAAATTATAGAATAGATTTAGTTTATTTCAATTGTAGTATTTTTTTTACCAGTGGCGTCCGTACAGGATGTGGTCTAGATATTTTTGGAAAAATATTATGCACGCCACTGCTATTTTTCAAAATAAAATTTATTTTTTAAATCACCATTCATTTTAGGGCAAATTTGATTTCTTGACCATTTTTCGTACGACTAACGGTTTTCGATAAAAAAAATAAAAAGCATTTAATGCGCATATTGCCATGTGCCTATAATTTCTAAAAAGGAGGCTATATCCTTACCATATTCAACGGGTCCAGGTCCTACTTCCTCGGGATTTTCCATCACGCTTAAATTTTTGCCAATGGTTTCTTTTAATGGTTACCGACAATCCCCAATTTGATGCCAAAATTTTATTTACAATAATAATACAAAATAAAAAAAAATTACAAGAAAAGTAAAAAATAAATAAATTTATGTATTGAAAAATTGTGTGTCCTGAAAAATTTGTCAAAGTGGAGATTGCTGGTTTTGCTTCTATATGTACCCCTCAAGTGATAATAGGTTGAACAGAAGACGGGACATCTTAATTTTTTATCTAATGTGTGATCTGATATAATAAATAAATAAAAACTGTTTTATCAACCTAATAAATTGGCTTATGAGAATTGACATCATGACGCGCTGCAAATTAAAATTTGAAAAAAAAAATTATCGAAAACTTTTTCTTGAATTACATTGTAATTTTATCACAAAACCACAGTATACCCTATGAATAACGTAAAAGTCTAAAAATATACAAAAAGTTGAATTTTGCTACTTGTAGGTACATAAATGGTCATTTATCCATAGATTTTTTCGTACATAATTTGAAAATGGTCATTATTCAATGATTTTTAATCGTTCTTGGCGAAAAGGTGAATGTTGCATTTTTATTTTTGCTTATTTATTATACATTTTACAAATTATACGATTATTTTTTAAAACCACGAGATTTTTAAAATTACTATCAGATTATATATTCCTGCTTGGACTATTAATAATTGTAATTGTAGCTGCTGCAGAATATGCCATAAACATTCTTTTTTATAGTTGGATAATCATTGAGCATATTTATATTACTACGCGTAAGTTACGCGGCGTAACACCATAATACCTTTTATACATTTGCGGCTTCCAAAAAACTATATTTATATAAAGACATAAAAATGCACCCCTATACTTAAGATCAGAATAAACAGAAATACTATTATATAATAGTATTTCTGTATACAGGGTGTATCACGGTCGATGGTAGGTTAGACGTTTATGGAGAACGGCAAAAATTTTCGAATTGAAATTTTTATAGCAATTAAAATATCATTTAAACTATTTTTCTAAATTATTTTGAACAAAATTCCTCTTCCGGTTTTAACGGAAGCGATATCAACTTTGTTATTTTAAATGGATCATTATAATTTTTTTTACATTTTTAAATTTCTACTATCATTCCTTATAAAATGGTCATTTATCCATAGATTTTTTCGTACATAATTTGAAAATGGTCATAATTCAATGATTTTTAATCGTTCTTGGCGAAAAGGTGAATGTTGCATTTTTATTTTTGCTTATTTATTATACATTTTACAAATTATACGATTATTTTTTAAAACCACGAGATTTTTAAAATTACTATCAGATTATATATTCCTGCTTGGACTATTAATAATTGTAATTGTAGCTGCTGCAGAATATGCCATAAACATTCTTTTTTATAGTTGGATAATCATTGAGCATATTTATATTACTACGCGTAAGTTACGCGGCGTAACACCATAATACCTTTTATACATTTGCGGCTTCCAAAAAACTATATTTATATAAAGACATAAAAATGCACCCCTATACTTAAGATCAGAATAAACAGAAATACTATTATATAATAGTATTTCTGTATACAGGGTGTATCACGGTCGATGGTAGGTTAGACGTTTATGGAGAACGGCAAAAATTTTCGAATTGAAATTTTTATAGCAATTAAAATATCATTTAAACTATTTTTCTAAATTATTTTGAACAAAATTCCTCTTCCGGTTTTAACGGAAGCGATATCAACTTTCTTATTTTAAATGGATCATTATAATTTTTTTTACATTTTTAAATTTCTACTATCATTCCTTATAAAATGGCTATACCATGTCCTATACCTAAACTGAATAGTTTTTGAGTTATTAATTTTTTTTGTAAAATTCGGTCAGTTTTACCCTCAACAAAAAGAGCTTATAACTTTTTTATTATTAGGTTTGCTGATATCCGCTTGGATTTATTGAAATCCTGAAGCATTCTTTTAAAGATTCCATGTAATTTATTTTAATATTTCTAAAAAGATACTTAAAAAAAAACAATGTGAATGTAGCTAACTTAAAACAGCAATAACTTTTTTATTTTCAATGGAACGCCCTATATATTTTTACATAATTAAATATGAAATTATAATACCTTTTCATTGATATAACTATTCCCTATAACTAAAGTTAATAATAAAAATATTTTAAAATTCCTATTATTTATTATTTATTTCAAATTTTTAAATATTAGTTTTAAATTAATAAACAATACAAGTGGAATCTACGAATGAGTTTCAAAAATCATATGACAAGAAAATAATATTAATAAGAACAATATTTTGTTTTCGGTGTTTGTAAATAAAAGCACTCTCTAAAAATGAATTAGTCAAAAATTACTAATTTAGTAGTTATTAGTGGCTGCTTTTTCACTTGGTTAACCATGCTATCCCAAAATTTAACAGTCAATTCTTATGTAAAATTGTCCCCTGAATCCGAAAATGTCAAAAGTTAAAAAATTAAAACAGATTTTGGGATATAGTCAATTTTCCATTTAATATGGAATTGACTATATCTCAAAAACTGCTTCACTTTATTAAGTGTGGTATTTTCGGATTCAGGGGACAATTTTACATAAGAATTGGCTGTTAAATTTTGGGATACCATGATATTTCATGGTTAACCATGGTACAAGTTAAAAAGCAGCTACTAATAACTATTAATTTAGTCATTTTTGACTAATTTATTTTTAGAGGAAACAAAAAGTAAATATGTCGTTTTGTAGGTATGTGTATAAACGGTCTGATTGAACGCCCGGTACCTTCATTAAAAGGTATATTAATATTTACTAATAAGGTTAGAAATACATTAATTAAATAAAAATAATGTTTTAAATTAACAAAAATTGTTAATAAAATAGCTAAAATGAAGGAAAATCACTATTCAAATGAAGTTTTGATGAACTTGTTTATTCTTCATTGACAATATGACAAACTTATTGCTAGAAAATGCAGAAACTTTTTGTATGTTGTACCTTTAATTTGGTTACCCATCCATTAAATATTTTCAACATCTTTTAAGTAGTTATTTTCCTTTATTTTAATTTTATCAGTTTTTCTTCATATTATTAGGTGAATTGTAAAATATCTTTCCTAATAATAACTTTAGGTATAGGGAATAATTATATCAATGAAAAGGTATTATAATTTCATATTAAATTATGTAAAAATATACAGTGCGTTCCATTGAGAATAAAAAAGTTATTGCTGTTTTTTTACAAGTATCTTTTTAGAAATATTACAATAATTTACATGGAATCTTTAAAACAGTGCTTTAGGATTTCAATAAATCCAACTGAATATCAACAAACCTTATATTAAAAAAGTTATAAGCTTTTTTTGTTGAGGGTGAAACTGACCAAATTTTACAAAAAAGATTAATAACTCAAAAACTATTAAGTTTAGTATAGGACATGATATAGCCATTTTATAAGGAATGATGGTAAGAATCTTACCGTAAGATTTTAAAATTGTAAAAAAAATGTGGTGATTTAAAATAAGAAAGTTGATATCGCTTCCGTTAAAACCGAAAAAGGAATTTTGTTCAAAATAATTTAGAAATATAGTTTAAATGATATTATAATTGCTATAAAAATTTCAATTCGATATCTTTTGCCGTTCTCCATAAACGTCTAACCTACCATCGACCGTTATACACCCTGTATAGTAAAAATACTTGCGAATTTCATGAGCATTGTTTACTAATATACTGTATACATTTTATGTTTGTTTTTATGAGCCATTTAACACTAACAATAGTTTGTTATTGGCCGCAAAAATTAAAAACTCTAAACAGTCAAACTTTACCTAGTAACTTTTAAAAAAGTAAACATTATTATTTGAATAACAGTGTGCAAAATTTTCGGAAAAAAATTAAGATGATGGGGTTCTGAAAGTATTTTCGGTTTCTACAATCAAAATCATGAATTATAGCGTTTACAGAATGTTTAGATTGATTCTGGTTTTTTTTTATATCAATTTAAAGTTTTAGTAATTCTGGATCCCGAAATATCGTAAAATAATAAATATTTAGTACATAAAAGATAATTATTTTCTATATTGTTTTATAAAGTATTAACAATCAAATAAAGAAAAAAATAATTAAATAAAAAAACAATGAGAACAATAAAATGCAATTTAAAAAAAAAACCTTTTTCTGGATTTAATATGTGTAGTGTAATTTCATAGTTCTTTCGCTTCTACCATAATAATAATTATGGTAATTATTATTATTATTATTATATTAATTATTAAAAATATATTCTTTTTAACAAATATAATGAATCAACATTAAAGATAGGTATAACAAATTTTATTTATAATTTAATGCCAAAATTTCCATTGCCATAGACCAACAAAAATCTGCAACATCGAATCAAACCTCTTTGCTCTATAACGATTTTCCATTTCCATTATTGTTTGATGCTCTTCTGATTCGGTGAACAGCTGATTTTCGAACAGGTCAAGATGTGCATGAAGCAAATGTACTTTTAGTGACATGTTTACCCCCATTTTGTTTTATTTTTTATTATTTCTTTTTAATTTATTGTTATGACAACAATTTCCTACCAGTTAATTGTCTTAAATTAATAAATAAAGGTTTTTCGGGTTCCAAAATTAATAAAACTTAAAACTTAAAATCGATATTAAAAAAAACCTGAATCAATCTAAACATTCTGTAAACGCAAAAGGGCATTCTTTGGATAGGAGACACGAAAACCACTTTCAGAACCCCATAATTTTTGTTTGTTTTGGTTTAAATTAATAAATAACGGTTTTTCGGGTTCCAAAATTAATAAAACTTAAAATCGATATTAAAAAAAACCTTAATCAATCCAAACATTCTGTAAACGCAAAAAGGAATTCTTTGAATAGGAGAAACGAAAACCACTTTCATAACCCCATTATTTTGTTTGCTGTTAGTCATTAACTTTGTTTATTATGCTTTTTTGTAAAATAACACATTTCCGAATAAGGTTTTGGTCAATGCATTAATGCATTATTTATTGAATTATTGGGGCTATTCTGGAACAAAGTTGTAACCAATATGGAAAAATGCTGTATTTAAGTGGAACACAGTTTAAGTAAAGGCAAAAAAATATAGACCGACCCCTTTTATTTTGATACAGATAACTATTTAGTTTTTGAGAAAGTATTTTCAATGTAAATATAATTTAAAACGTATGGAGCAACGCCAGATGGTACGGAATAACACTTTTAAATTTGGGTTTTAAATGTTTTTTTAATATTAATTTTTTTATTTATTTAACAACCTTTAGTGAAATTGAAGATCTGTCAACAAACCACTACTTCGCAACGTCCTACATCAAAACTCACATGAGAACAAACTCATATTTAATCGGACTCCTTTTCGGATATATCATTCACAGACTGCAAACGTCAGGGTAAGCAAACAAAACAACATGCAGAATAATCAAAAAATAATATTTGTTTAATCAGGACGAAAATTCCAACGTACATTGTTTGGATAGGATCAATAATTGCCACAGTTACCGCTTTACTCGCCATGTTTTCCATAGTTGTTTTTCTTCATCCCGATCACGAGAAAAACGTTTTGGAGAATGCGATTTATTCGCCATTACACAGGGTGGCATGGTGTCTTTCCATTGGCTGGCTGCTTATTATCTGTGTTACTGATAACGCTGGTAAGATTTTTTTAAATACTATTAACTTTACACTTATACAACTAAACTGCGCACCACTCAATGTGTCGCGACCAAAAAGTTCGTTCTTTTTTAAAACGACATAACTTTTTTGTTTCTTGAACGATTTTATTTTGGTCTGTAATGTCTACTAGCCTCATCCTCTGGCAATTCATGCTAAAGATATGAAGCTCATGGTTCGTCAAGTAAATTTCCTACAGGGTGATATGTTAAACGGTGAAAAATAACAATAAATTCATCCAAGCCCCGTTGTAAAAAAATAATTTTTTTCTCATTTTTATTTTGAAATAATGAAGAATTAAGTCTTACCTTGAAAAGGTTTTCAAATTTTTCAAATTGGAAATTTACTTAAAGAACCGTGGGCTTAATATCTATAGCATGAATTGCCAGAGGATGGGGTTAGCAGACATCACAGATCCAAATAAAATCGTTCAAGAAACAAAAAAGTTTTGCCGTTTTGATCAAGGACGAACTTTTTGGTCGCGACACATTGAGTGATGCGCAGTTTATATTAAAAAATACAGTTTACGTAGGTACACTGTGTAAACAGTTTTCAAATATGAATTGCATATTGCGTACCTAATTTATTTTTATATATTATAAATTAACTAATTAAGCAAAGGAAAAACAAGTTGTTTTAAACAACTACCAATAAGCAGTGTGCTCATCCTAAATGCTTTGAGGGATAAATGTAGGTATGTAAGTGCAGCATTAATACATCAAATGTTTAGATTTGTCAGGCAATCAAACTTTGTATAATCATATTAAAGAGTTTGTACTTTTCTTATACGTTTTCAAGCGACTCAGTCTTAAACTCATTTCTCGCGTGGTTCTAAGGATATTTAAAAAAAATTCGTACAAATTGAGAAATTTTGGGGGTAATACCATAACCGATAATTTTCATGAAAACACCGTTGTTAATAATAATTCTAGTTCAAAGAACGAGTGGAGTTTGTACAACCTCGACAAGTTGTGGATTTATGGAGTTTTAGTTACGGGTTGAAGTTAGCAACAGGTTTTTAGTTACGGGCTGAAGTTAATTAATTTAGTTGACGGTTGTCAAATGTCATATAATCATTAAAATAAAGTGCCCTTTTTGTAAAATATTACTAAATGTGAAAGTTATTTTATTATTTCCATACAAAAATGCAAAAGGATTAATTAATTTCCCAACGCCAATATTTTAAAAGTTTGAACATTGTACTGACCTTTTAATTTCGCCGGCAGAAAACTAGATATAACTTAAATTCGGGCTCGGGCTCCACTGTTAAGCTCATAAAACATTTTCTCTACTTTAATTGTGGAAAACTGCTGTTAATACATTTTCAAGGAATAGCTGAATTGCGGTACACTTTAGTCCGCGTATATCCAAAGCAACGTTTCAAAGGTTGCAACAATAAAAAAATGTATTATTTACTTTATATCTGGAAGAATTTTTTATGCGTAAAATTACCCACCGCGCAAAATTCCCCCACCTTTATAACCTTTACAATCTGTGTTTATAACACATAAAAAATTGACATTTTACGGTAACACAGATTTTCTTATTGTTTTATAGATGGCGCTCTTTACAAATATTTGATTTAAATCAGATAATAATAAGTATTTGTCGTATAAAAAGTATAGTATGCAACTTGTTTATAAACTTTTCTAGACACCAGAGCTGCAAGCTCTCAGAAAACTTTTTTGATTTAAATCGTTTTAATGACTTAAGTCATTTGGTAATAAGTAATTTCTCTAAAACTGACTTAAAATTTAGGTAATTTTCAAAATGATTTGTGACTTAAATATTTTTTTCAAAATAGGAAAAAATTAAGTCATTAATAAAAGGCTTAAGTCAAAAAAAGATTTAAGTCTTTATAAAAGTCGGTAAATTATTTAAGTAATTTAAAAAGATTTTCTTTTTGAAAAAGACGTAAGTCTTTTTAGAAAATATTTAAGTCAGATTTTTCATATATTTTTTTAACTTCCTACCTACAATTGCTACCGCTAGTGAATAAAAAAACCGCCGCGGTAAAGTTAGCTTTTCGGAACCGTTTGACGGCTACATTAAAAAATGCCCTGTTTAAAATGAATGAAAAAAAAAGTAAGGATTTATAATTTTGTAATTTTGTTTGCCAACATTCGTCGCGTGCGTAGTTAGGTCTAATTTGTGATTATTAGTGCAAAGTGGAAACAAACGATTAACAGGTAAGGACGAATAAATATTATAAAGACGTGTTTATATCATATAGGGTGTTTCGGTTTGTTTAAGTAAATAATTACGACAAAAAAACGTGATTGTGCGTGAACGTAAGTAGTCTTGAATTATTACAGTCGTGAGTGGTCGTAAATCGTGAACAATCGTGAATCGGGAGTAGTCGTAAGCCGTCGTGAGCAGTCGTAAATCTTGAGAGGTCGTGAATCGAGAGTTTGGAACCTCCCATCATTACTCCCTTAAGGGAGGAATATTTTTTTTCTAGATGGATGTTGAACCAGCTAACAAAAGTTAACAAACCAACAAGTTATCAGTTTTTGAAATACATCGATTTTAAGAAAAATGTTTATATTTTGTTTGTAAGTGTTCTGAAAATAAATCGTTTTAAATTCTTAACATAGTGATTTATTATCATCTGTATCTACAATAGATTAATAATATCACTATCATTAATACCATTAAATTATTATTAACATTTAAAAAATTTTGTATTGACTTAAAAGTAGGGTTGGGAAAATTTCACTTTTTGCTTGTACTTGAAATTTCACTTGAAATTTTCACGACATTTATGAAATTTATTAAAATTTCCTAAATGTCTGAAATTTCAATCACTTTAAGTGTAATATATTAATATTGAAATAAGCCCACTCGGTGACCATGGCAAATTGCCTTTCTTACCTCCCACCCTTCTGTGGGCCCCTGCACCAATAATATAAATATGTAGTAACACATAGGTATGTTTACCACAAATTTCTTGAGATTTCCTTTAAAAATATTTTTAAAATTACCTACTAAAACTAAGAGAGATATAGCACTTTTTGGCAACCTAATGAGATTGTGCCACTTTCATTGTTTTATATTTATATATATTTATTATTTTTATATATTTTACTGAAATTTTACAAAAATTGAAGAAACTTCATCAAAATTTTATGAGCCAAAGGCTTTTTTTATCCGTTTTCCGATGCAATTATAGCAAAAGTAAAAATTTAATTATGACTTTAAAAAAAATGATGTCTGATTTAATTTACAAATTAAATTGGAAACTGAATTAAATTATTTAAATTAATTTATGCATATAAGTAACAATAATTACTTATAGTGTATTCAAATCCAAGCCGAACTAAATAAAAATTCCCAGACGCTTGATAACTCGTTCTTATTGGTTGATTCGGAATCTGTTGTAAATTATTATTAAAGGTCCCAGGGGAGGCCGCATGTGAAATGTATGCGAAATTTTCAGTAAATTGCGAAACTTTCAATGAAATTTCTGAAAGTTTCACAGGAAATGTTGAAATTTTCTAATTGAAAATTTCATTTGAAATTTTTAAAAATTTCACTTTTCCAACTAAATGAAATATTTCAAGTTTGAAACTTTTAAAGTTGAAATTTTCATTTGGAAATTTCAACTGTCCCAACCCTACTTAAAGGTAATTATTTTAAATTTTAATTATTTTAAATCACAATTTTTGATTTAAGTCATTTTATTGACAATTTAAATAAAAAATATAGACTTAAGTCATAAAACGACTTAGTAAAGAAATTAAGTCATAAGATGATCTAAAATCCCTTTATATTGATTTAAGAATTTGCGAAAATGACTTGACTTGAAAGAAAATGATTTAATTCAAAGACTTAATACTTAAATCATTTGAAGTTTATCTTACAATTGACTTAAGATTTAAATCATTTTGATTTTAGAATTGACTTAAGACTTAAGATTTAAGTCCTAAAACTGACTTGTTGCAGCTCTTAATAATCCAAGTAAACAATGACTTCTAGTCTAGTACACACTCGCAAGCTCGCTCGTGTCTAAAATGGCGTTTATCAATCTTGATACATAATATACTATTAAATTTCCATATTATTTGTATATTAAATGTTTATAGGTCCGAAGTGTGTTGGAGTACTGTTGTGTTGTGTGGTCTCCCTATTTTTTAAAGTAGGTATATACAAATGATTTCAATTTTGTGCCTTTAAGTTATATATAAGTACCTACCGATAACCTTTGTTAGAAATAATACTAATTTAAGATTATTAAGTCAAAGAAGAACAGAGCACAGTCTATAAATTATTGAATAATTTCTTTAACAGCTCTGAGTAACAAAAGACAAACAAAACAAAATAATTTATTTTACCTAAAAACATTATATTATAGAACATAGTATGCAAAATGTAACTCGCTAAATCGCATAGGTATGTGCTAATGCAAATCATTTGATTTTGACTTTTTTAATTGCAGTTTAGGAACATATGAACACAACATTAGAGTTACTTAATTATAATCTGTAAATATAATTTTTGTGCGTTTGATATTGTTTAGATTTCTCCTTACCTCAGGTTCGTTTAAAACAAGTTTTATGAAAAGATGATAAATTAAATATTTTGTGGCTTTGGCTCGTGATCGTCTTACCCAAATTTGGACCTCTACGTTGTGTTTACTTACTTGTTTTATTAAATGCATTGGGAGAACTAGGTTTATAAGAAATAAAATACAGTGGTTTACTTTACCCCGATTTAATTTACATTAACTTTTACAAACAAGCAAGGGGTGGCTCTTAGGAGGGTTCGGCCAGGGAAAAAGAGCCTGAGAAAAAAACCCTGGTCGGCTATGAAGTAGCGAAGGAATACGCGGTTCCCTGGCGAAAATATAGCGTGCACGAAAAGTGTGCAATAAGTGTGTATTTAGAGTGCAAGTCTTTATAACAATGCGCATAGACGCTATTTTGTGGTAATGTCACACTTTTTGAAATAATTTAGTTTTTTTACTCTTTATGTACATTGA